CAGTCGCTGCTGCATCATCGCGCTCTCTCCTCGGTCGCTTTTAATCCCACGTGTCTCGTCTCATGAGCAAACAGCTTCGTGCCCAGCGCTGGTGTCTTCGGCGCTTTAATTTAGTGTTCCGTGCCCCTCACCGCAAGGTACCGCACCGAGGGGTAATCGCTCGGCCTTTTATTTGTAGTAGTAAATTCGGTCGCTGCTAAAATAGGAGTCTGAAAATTGCTGCGGGGTTGCTGTTTAATGCAGATTCTGGGTTTTGTGGAGACACCTGTTTGTTAGGGGAAGGGGCTGAGATAGTCGAGCAGCTGTCAGAAAAGAGCAGGCACCTCTCACTCACAATCTGCAGAGTGAGGCAGTGTGTGCCCCTCTGCCTTCAGCTTGCTCCTTGGAGCAGTTATCCTGGAGAAGTTATCCCGGGTGTGGCTGCTGTTTGGCACAGGATAGTTTATTATATACACAGTACTTTGTTGTATGTGAGTTATTCCTCTGCCTGAGAACAGGCTGCATCTGACAACTTCGGAGGACTTGGGGCAACTTTGGGGTGTTCATGCCCAGCACTGAATTCTTCTGACAGTTTGTATAATTCACTAACCAGGTATTACAGTTTTGTTTGAGAAACATGAGAGTGTTTTGTTGTGGCCCTTGGCAGGTGTGTTGGAGGATTTCACAGTGATGAGCGCTGTCTTGTTCGCCGTGTGAAGACATTCACGAGCCATCTAGAAGCCTTTCCCCTTCAGTGCTTTATAACCCAGGCTCTGCAAATTTTGATGCACAGGAGAAGAATCTGGAAATGATGGTGAATTGCTTTTTGTGGCTATGAGTTTTAATTTTTGTTCGTTTTTAAAGAAGGATTTTATGTACTTTTTTTGTTTCTTTGAGGACAGACTGGAATTGGTGCTTTCAGCTTGAAGGTACACTGATTTGCTAATTATTCTGCTTGGTTCTGTGTATTTCATCACTCTTCTCTTCAGGCCACACATACACTTGTTTTTATGAATCTCTCCTTATTTCCCTTTTGTTCATTTATTTTCAGTACTTGACCTGAACAAAATGTTTCGGGTGTTTCTAAAAGTTTTTCCTGCCTCTTTGCCCTATGTTTGTGATCTCTACAACTGAAAGTCCAGGCCATGAAGTCAGCAGTGGCTCACAGCTAACTGGTAACAGTTAGCTACTGACCCACCACGTGCTGATTATCAAGTCAGTAATGATAACCTTTAAAATGAAATAGAATATGCTGTCTGGTGGCTGGGGGAATAATACAGCATGATGCATGAAGCTCTAAAATACTTATCTGGGCCTAGATTAATTTCTCAGTAACAGCAGAATCCTGTTAATTTAGCAACTTGGCTGTTGTGGGCAAAACAGCCTTGGCATGGGGAATTTAATTCAATTTATTGCCAGTTAACATAAACTTTTAATTACCTGTTGGCTAGTGAGATACAAAGACGACCACCACTTAAATAAACACTTGGGGAAAAATCCTTTCCTCCCCTTCTCTCCTTGACCCCTCTGGTTATGATCTGTCCCTTGGACGAGGCAGTGGTGCTGCAGGAGGTTGGGGTTGGTAGATGAAGGCTTCTTTCTGTTGCTCCTTCATTCTTGTTTCTCCAGCTCCCATGTCAGCCTCTCCACAGGCTCCTCACGGGTGTCCCTGTTCCAGAGTGGGCACCTCCCCAGGCCACAGTCCCTCAGGGGTGTGGAGAGCCTCCTTCCAAGAGTGCATCTCAAGCTGTGACCCCAGTTGTCTCCTCCCCATGCTTCCCCGTGTCTTTTTTAGCACACTGTCACGCGTCTCCTCCTGCGCTTTCTTCGGCATTTTCTGCTCCTGGCAGCTCCTCCCTTTCTTAAATAAGCTGGAGCACTGTGTGCTCATCTGATGAGTTGGAGGATGGCAGGCAGTGGGTTTATGGAGTCAGCTGGAACTTGCTGTGACCAGCAGTTGATGGACTCCTCCCATGCAGCCCCTGCTACCAAGCCCTGCACTTTGTCACCAGTACACTGCTGTGCCAAGTGGGTGATGCTGGAAGAAAGCTCCTTGTCTAACTATAGGACCTGCAGTCACCTTTATAGACCTAGAAATAAAAATGAAGTTCTCTTCTGTAACTTGCTAAGTAGCAATAATGTGTTGTGTCACTAGATTGCTAACACTGTTACAACTGTATTTGTTACTAACCTGTCCCTCTGAGGAGTTGTGTCTGCTCCTATGCAACTGCTGGTATCTGGATCAGAGGTTTCTGCCATGATTGCATTCATGCATGTTTTCCATCCTTTTTTTTTTTCCCCTAAAACTTTCTCAAAGGGTTGATTTTTCTGTTTTTCAGATCTGAAGGTGCTAGTTCTGCTTACTCAAAGGTGGCAACTCAAGCTGCCAGGGAAGAGTCAGAGCTCTGTTCTACCAGCGTGAGTAGTTATGTTCTTCTCAGAGATCATTTCACTTCCTTGTTTTGTTTGTCCCACTCATTCATTGATTTTGGTATCTCCTCCCTATTATCTTTTGGGATGAGTTGCTCCCCACTTTTGAGTTCTATGTGATGCTGTGTGTGTTGGAAGAACACAGAAAAGTAAGAGATGAGATTTCAGATTTGTGGGAAATTGAATCTTCTCTCAGTCTCTGCAAGATGGAATCTTGATAAAGGAAGGAATAATTGAGAGTAGTCATGTTTAGCAGAAGGCTTGGGAAGCAAAAGTTTTTTAGGCCCTAAGTTGCTGTGTGCAGCAGAGCCTGTGTGTGTGCAGGACTGGAGGTAGTTGTGGTAAGTGTTGACAAGAGTGACAGTGGTGGTAAGTGGTCAGTGTAGTATTGGATCCTGCTCTGCTGTAGCCCAACATGCATATTGCCTTGAGTGGGTATTAAGTTCCCTTAGCATCTCCATTGTCTCTTCCCAAGTACGTGTTGTTTCTAGCTGTATAAAATGTTTACTTGGTGTTGAATGTAGAAATTCAGAAAGTTACGTGGTTTTCCTGAACTGTTGCAGGGGACAGAGTCCTTGGAGTGAGGAGATATTGATATTGCTCTTAGGCAGACAGGAAATAATCCATTCTTCTTGCTCCTCAGGACTTTCTATCCTACACTGTGCCTTAAACATGGAGACTGTAGAAATGAATAGTGTGTCCTTGAAACGTCCTCGCTCTGAGGATGATGTGGCCAATGCAGACGAGATTAAAAGACAGAAGATCTTGGAGAAGTCTAAAACAGGGAATGACTCTGGGCAGAGTATTGAGACTGTAACAGAACAACCTGAGGACACGAAAAACGAAGTAATCCCCAATGAGGAAAGTGAGGAGCAGGAAGAAGAGGAACTAGAGGACAGTGATGAAGATGGAGATCCAGAGAGTTTTGCAGACATGATGAAGCATGGACTGACAGAAAGTGACGTTGGCATAACTAAATTTGTTAGCTCTCATAAAGGGTTTTCTGGAATTTTAAAAGAAAGGTAACAGTCTTATTATGTATGTTGATTCTGTGTGTAATTAACAGTAGCTGTACTGCTCCATTGTCCTTTTCCAGGATGCAGCTAGATGATGTGTGGCCACTAGAGAGGTTCATTGCTTTTTCCAGTGCTGAGAAAGAAGGGTTTAATTGGGACTTTTCTAGATTGTGGGTTGTTTTGGGTTTTTTATTTTCCTGTCAAATGGAGCTCTGAAGAGGGAAGCTGTGTGTGAATAGAAATATGTGATTGCACTGACCTTTGCTGTTCCTGTTGGTCTCTGGCAGCAGCACACAGCATATATAAAGCCTTGTGCAGTACACCCACCTTTTGTACCACTCCTCAGTGCTGAGAACAGCAATGAAATCATCCCTCTTTGGTTCTTCTTCCCTTTGCTCTGCCTATTTTGTGCTAATGCCTTTAAGCACATACACTGTCAGATGGTCTGTTAGGCTTTAAATTATCCTCTGACCAGTTGTAATGTCATTTACAAAACATAAAAGGGAATTTTTATAATTCAGGGTGTGGAATTTGTTGTGTATACATGTCCCAAACATAGCTCTGTACTAGCCACTGTGCAGAAAATTAACTCTCCCCAGCCAAAACCAGCCCAATACATGATGTATTTAATGAGATGCTTGGGTTTTAGCAGCTTTTTTTAATGAAACCTTGAGGTTTTTTTAATTAAAGAACATTTTTAATAAAACAGAATACAAAGACAAGAACTCAGTGAAGTGAGAATCATTGTTTCCCTGACTTAGAAAAGCAGTTAAGGATGCTTTGTTTACACACTGAAAAGTCCCTGGTTTTAGACACTGGCTGCATATATAGATCATTTTACATAATAAAATTAGATGTGCATATTATGCATGCATTTAAGCTTTATGTGCAGCATTAAGCAGCTAGCATAATCCTTCATGAGGGAACACAGTCTGTGCTGAGCCTCCTGGGAAATCTGCCAGTTTGGGTTGGCCAAAGGTAGTGGTGGTACAAAATTTGTGGGCTTTGGTTTTTTCTTTTTTTGATCTCAGTTTGTAATGCCTATCATTAATTCAGTCCTGGTATTTTTATGGTACTAGTCACTAGTATGTCTAAACAGCTGCAGATAATAAGAGAGAGAGAGGACATATAACACTCCTCAGGAAGGAATTCTATCAGTATGATGTGTGGCAAACAGGGCTTGGGGTGTACAGTAAAAACACTCCCATGGGGAAGTTTTATTCATCTTTGAACAGTTATAGACTAGGATGTTGGTTTTTTTTTTCCTTTGCAAGCACATGCTGCTTAAAAATCATCAAGCAATTGCAACATCAACTGACTGTGCTCTGTTAAAGTCAGGATGTTTTTATTATTGGACATAAGTGTCTGCACTGAAAATGCCACAGTCAAATCCTTTGTTTCTGTTGTAGAGGATGCAGCCTAATTTCATTAGAATGATGTTTTCTATAACTGAATACATATCACAAAGCTGAATTTGTCCTGCTTTCCTTAGAGTGGCTAAACTGCACTTTATCCTGCAGGTTATTTGAAGTGATGGAGTTAATACATTTATGTTCACATTGTGACAATGCAACAGACTCTTAATTGTCTGACTGGGATTGAGGACGTGCATTACTGATCTCTGCAAGCTAGTGAGAAAATGACTCAGAATAACTGCAGCAGGTGTTTGGTGATCTGCAAAGTCTTCTGTGTTTAGCTGTGCCAGGTTTTCCTCTGTGTTCTCATGGTATCCTGAGGGGTGGGAATAGGTGCAGCTTGCTCATGGTTGGAGTTCTGTCTGTGAATTCAGAGTTCTTCAGTGAATTCTGCTAAATAACAGCTCCTTAGGAAAGGAGTTCATGTGATGTGGGATTTTGATTCTTATTACAAATGCCATATGTGTTTCTTCCTATCAGATACTCAGACTTTGTTGTCCATGAAATAGGCAAAGACGGGCGCGTGAGCCATTTAGATGACTTTTCTGTTCCAGTGGATGATGAGGTAAATTCTGAGGTAAAGATTTGGTAATGGATATGCTCTTCAATGCTCCTTAAGCAAGAACATTAAAAGACTGAAAATTGTTCCATGAGAGTTATTGGTGTTTGTTTTCCCCCCTATAATATGCATTAGGACCCATCAGAAGAAACATTTACAGTTTTGTCAGATGAAGACAAGCAACGTTTAGAGGAGCTCCAGCTACTTAAGAATAAGGAAACCAGTGTTGCCATAGAGGTAAAATGAGTAAATGATATGAAGTTTGGGGGTGGGGGCAGAGGGAGGATGAGAGAGGGAGTGGAAGGTATGTGCTTTCTAGTGCATCGAAGGAGTAAGATCAGTTTGAACATAATGCAACAGGTAGGACCAAACTGTTCCCAGTTTAGGGGTTAATTCTGCAAAGTCTTACAGATGTAAGCTGAGATAGGGGAGAGTCAGATTAATGAGTAAATGATATGAAGTTTGGGGGTGGGGGCAGAGGGAGGATGAGAGAGGGAGTGGAAGGTATGTGCTTTCTAGTGCATCGAAGGAGTAAGATCAGTTTGAACATAATGCAACAGGTAGGACCAAACTGTTCCCAGTTTAGGGGTTAATTCTGCAAAGTCTTACAGATGTAAGCTGAGATAGGGGAGAGTCAGATTAGATTAGATGAACTCAAATTCACACATGTGAGTTGCCATTTTGATTTTGGTGGGACTTGTACACAGGAACTTAAATAGAGGTTTTAAGTCCTGTGGTGTTAAAATTATCTTGCAGTATTTTCTGTCTAGTATTGTTTTATAGAATAAGGAGGTTTAAATCAAACATCCATCCTGATGAAACACTGTTTTCAAGGTCAGTGTTTAGTGGTTTAATAGAAAAGAAGATAAATATGATCTTCTGTGATAAGAAGGTACAAAATGAAATTAAAACCGTGGTATTTTTAAACATCCAAATATTCCATGTGCTTGAAGAATAGTTCAGTGAATTTTGGGACACAGATGAGTAGGATTAAATCTGGGAGTTTCAAATAAGCATTCACACATTATCATAGAATCAACTGGGTTGGAAAAGACCTCAAGATCATCAAGTCTAAAATAATCTTATCTAGCCATTTTTTCCCCTTAAAGCATAGAGACAAACTTCCTTCTGACTGAGCTTTCTTTAGAAAAGAGAATTTTATTAAGCACAGAGAAGGGGAACAAATCTTGACAATTTTTTCTTTTGTGAATGTTGAGACTGAAGTTTGTAACAGTTATTTATTATTTCCTCCAACTAATTTTAAGTAGGTCAGACTTTTAAGTACTTAGTACTTTATTGTTAGCTGGTAGGTTTTCTTTAAACATGCAGAATTTAACTCCAAGAGAATCCTTCCCCTTTTGTATTACTTTGTTTGGTTTCTGCATGTGTGTGTATTTACACAGGTAATTGAAGACACCAAAGAAAAAAGAACAGTCATCCATCAGGCTGTGAAGTCCTTGTTTCCAGGACTGGAGACTAAAACAGAAGATCGAGATGGAAAAAAGTACATTATTGCTTATCATGCTGCTGGGAAAAAAGCACTGGCAAGTGAGTTTGAGTACACAGCAGCTGGGTAAAGTAAATGCTAAAATTATCCTGAAATTAGCCATTATTAGTACTTCGAGTGGAGCATACCTCCTAATGTAGTCTGGCTTTGCTTTTTCCTCCTTGCAACTGATGCTGCACATCTGAAATGAGTAGGAACAGAAGAAATGTTTCAAGTTTAAACTTCTACTTGTTTTTCTTTCCCAATAATTCATCCGGTGCAACCATGTTAGAAGGGAGAACATCTGCTGTTTCAGTGGGAGTAGGCAAAACAGGGGCTTTATTTTCAGTACTTTTTGAACTTAGCTTTTGTGAACTTACCTGGATGTGTAGGTGCATTGAGGTTGTAGTTGGAATGTGTCCATTACACTGACAATGTCGTCTTGGCTGTCTTGAAAATTCATGAGAGAATTCTCAGTGACCTCAATAGGGACAAGCACCTATTTGTTTTATCAGAGTTAGGTTTGTATAAACATAGAATGTTTACTATCATCTTTGACTGCTTCCAAAGCTAATTATATTTGCAGAAAATTCTTTATTCATTATAAATCAGTTACTCTTTTGGAATAGCCAGAGTAACGAAGGGTTTTCAAAATGAAGTCTTATCCACCTCAATCTTGCAAAATACATTTTTGCTTGCTGGGGATCAATTAATGCATTCTGCATCTTTCAGTGTTAATACAAATTTGTGGCAGCTGTGGGTTTAGATGATTATCTACGTGCAGGATGGTACACATGTAACAAAAGGTATTAGGGTTTGGCTTAAATTGGTTGCATTCCTATGTTACTTCAATCTACTACAAATGGCAACATAGGAACCTAACCCTTTCCTTTTAAAGGTGAAGGAGATGAAGAAAGGATAAGGAGATACAATAACTTAAAATCAGAATCATCTCCACATTCAATTTAGTTACTATTTTTAAAGCTTGTTCTCAGCAAATATGAGAATGCTGTACTTTTATTGATCTAATTATAATGTTTCTATGTGTCTTACTTAACCATGTTTAGAAAATGTGTATGTTTGCATGCTTTATGCATGGAGTATGTATACCTACCAGCACAAAATTCTCCTCAGCCAGTTTTGTTCTCTGTTGGTTTGTAATGGTTTTACCTTCACCTTTTCCTTCTGCTGCTCCTGTTCTTTGACCATCGTTACACTCAAGTGGTTGCTGTTTAGGTGACCAGTCTGATTGAAGAGATGCTGTATAAAACAACTTAAGCATTTGAAATAATGCAGAAAAGACTTCAGTGGTGTGTCTCTAGGATTAAAACATTATCTGGAGCACCATCTTGTGATGCAGAGAAGCATCATCTATTTAGACCTGGATTTAAGGCTGCAGGGACCTGTGTGTGTTGGTGGAGATGTGTGCAGTCCAGTGAGTGTGTGTAAATGGATGGAAGACTGAACAGTGCAAGTTCTTTTCAGTCAGGATTATATTTATCTTGTGTGTGGATATAGCCACGAGCATGTCTTGGCCCTGAGTGGGTTCCCCAGGCAAGAAACATTTTGGAAGTGTAGAATATTCGAGTGTTGGCTGAGATACCTGATTGCTTTTGTTGATAATACAAAAGGTTACCAAACATAGTTCCTAAAATTAAAATCAGAAGCTGCTTTGTCTATACTAAGTTAACACCCAAAATACTTAAAATACTGTCTTACTAAATTGTCAGTAAACTGTTGTTTCATCATCGTCCACAAATTAAGTTTGTTGCATCCCCGACCGAAGCTTTCCATATGTTCACTGTTTGCCTCTGCACGACTCCATTGCTTAACTGTCTAAATTGCTGTCATCCACCACCTAACTATTGGATGCTCCCTGAAGCATAAACAATCCCATAACCATAAACCTGCATGTTCACCTGCAAAAACCCTTCGACAGTCTAAAAATTAAATGCTACTCTTTTGTGCTCTTTATGCTCTGCATTGGGACAGAGGTCAGGACTGCAACAGGTAAGAGATGTTGACATTTCATGCTAACAAAAATGAAATGCCAACCATTATGACCTCCTGAATAGCAACAGGACTGGCCAAATTAGTTACAATTCCTTAAAAATTCCTGCACAAGTAATGTGTCAAACCTCCTGAATTAGCCAAGAATTGGGATTGTACTACCTCTTTTTTTCTATTGTATAGGCAATAGTCATTTGATGCAGAGAAAGTTTACCTCTAATAAGTGATGTAATTACCAGTTATGGTAACTTTTCCATGGATTTCAGTAAGCCAAGCCTTTGCCCTTCAGCCTGTACTTCAGGCACTACTATCTGTCTTTTTACAGCTTTAAAAGTGTATGTCATACATCCTGATATTAAAAAAGAGCTTCCAGTCCTCAGGTTTCAGCAAAAGGTTTGAAAAATGGGCTTGGAAATACAATTTCACTGTAAAAACATGTAACATGACTCTGAAACATAGCAGAAAGGGCTGCAAATTGGCCCACTGATCCATCTATATCTTGGAAGTGTTGGAATGGTTTGGTATCAGGAGTGTAGCTGCAGCCTCTGGTGGATGGGCACATGGCTCTGATGCCCAAAGCATGAGGAGCCCATTGGTATGTACAGTATCTACAGAAGCTTTTCAGTCCAGCCCAGATTAAAGATCACTTTCTGAAGTGTGTTGGAATGACTGTGATGAGTTAGTTAAATTTAGAGAGTGATTCCAGCTGGAGAAGGCTTTTCCTTGTGAATTGAGCTCTGTCTTCTTCTCTTGCCCTCTAATTGCCAAGATTACGGAGGACCTTGCTCTTCCAGATGGATGCAGTGTTTTATGGCCTGTGGTGGCTCAGAAAGAGAGACCATGAGGTCTCTTAACAGGCTTTGGACCACACTGCTCAGTTTAGGTCCTAGGAAGCTCCATGAGCGAGAGGCTTTGCTTAGAAACTGATGGTGCAAGGCAAGTGTTGCAAAAATTCTAAGTGACTAAAAACTCTGCATATCGTATTTGATGCTGCAGCAGCCAAAATTAGTTTTGCAGAAGTTGGTGTATGGATGGCAGCTTCTCAAGGAAAAAAAAAAAAGCAAGAATTAAACATATTGACTGACTGTGTGGGAGATCTGGGCTTTATAAAATTAATGTGAACAACTCGAGCAAAATTTCCCAAGAATCACAGAACTTCTTTCCTGCATTGGTGTTTGTAGGTTGGATTAGTGTTTGCTTTTCAGTTAGCTTTTGCTGTTTAGGAAAGATGCTTAAGCCCTTTCTGTCCAAAACCAGGAATGTCTGGTTGGTGGCTATCAAGAGATAAGGGACTTCTTATTCAAAGCAAAACAAATCCTTCGTTTTGTTCTTATATAAATCAAAGAATTGATGAAGCATCTCAGAATTGGTTGCTAAACCTGTGTAGAATCAGTGCCCTTGCCCAGTAATGCCATCCACAGCAGATTATTGTAGAAGGAAAGTTTTATCTCTGGAGGCTTTTTATGTGCTTGACAAATCATGGACAGTTTTCTTCCTTCTCCAGAAAAGCCAAATAACTGCACAGAATTGTTAGTCTGTGGGAGCTGTTATCTCACCCTCTGGCCTTCCCTAAGCACAGCACAGTATCTGCCTTGGATGTTGTGCTCATGTCTTTCTTGTGCCAGATTTCTCTCTCCCATAGGACTTAAAAAAAAAAATCCTAATTTTTCTGAGTTCACTTTTTGAGGCTTTTGTAGAGCTATAACTTTGGGTTTTGTGTGACACACAGGAAAAATCCTATAGAAATAAAGACTATGCCTGTGCTATAATTGTAGTCTTCCCACAAACAGAGCTCCAATGGCACTCAGCTATTAATTATAGAAGGTGCTAAATGAAACATGGAGTGGCTTCTATTGCTGAAAGTCAGTGTAATAATGATGTTTTTCAGAAGTTTAATCGGGTGATATGGCAGTTAAGTGACTAGGGTGTATTTTTAGGTAATTTCATAACAGAGGAACTGTCACTATTTCATTCAGGATTTTCTAGGTGGCAGAACCAAATAAAGAGAATTTTACAGCCCAGGGGAAGGGGAGGTCTTTTTAATGTGCCTTGCAGCTTTTGCTGTCAGTAATTAACTCTTTCCATTTCCTTTAAAGCAGATGGAAATTAGCAGAAATTGACTCTTGCATATTTGTTTTAAATGTAGCTGCAATGGAAAACACATTCATTAAAATGCTGGGAAAAAATGACATTTTAATCTTTCTTTTCTTTTAAAGATCCAAGAAAACACTCTTGGCCAAAATCTAGGGGCAGCTACTGTCACTTCGTGCTGTACAAGGAGAACAAGGACACTATGGATGCTATTAATGTCCTATCCAAGTTTTTAAGGTAAGGCTGTTGTTTCTAGTTAGCATGGTTAGCAATCAGCCCTGCCCCTGGATGGGTCATGTTACTGTAAGTGTTATGCTTCAGAATTATGTAAGAGCAACACAAGTGATTACTACTGCCTAATTTGTAGACAATGTTTAAAATAAAAGGCTATTTTAGAACATCACGTTTGAAACAAGTTCTGTAAGAAGGTGAGAATGGAACAAAGTGAGTCTAAGAAATGTAAGAGTCCACAATTGGCATTGTCTGACCTGAGCAAGGTTTGGCAACTCAAAGCCTCAATGTGCATACCCTGAATTAAAAGCCATTTTTTTCCCCAGTGTGAAGATATGCAAATATGTTATGAACCTGGCAGATATCATTGTGATAATATGCTGATCAGTTCCTAAGTAGTTACAGTTGATAAACTGTTGTTCCATGTATTAATTTCTCCATGGCAACACAGGCTTAGTTCCTTTCACCCCATCAAGTGCAGTAACAAAAAGCTTTGCCAAAGCATGATGTGAACACAGTGAATTGCAGAGGAAAGGCAAAATTAGGTCACTTCAGTGATCTGCTCATAGGGAAACTTCCCCACTTCTCCCTTCCTTTTCCCTTCACCAGTTCTGTCAAAGAATAAGTGTTTGTAATCTAGACTCTAATCAGTATACTAAGTATTTGGATTTGAGAACAGAATGGTTGGAGCATATTTGATGACAAACTGTGTCATGGCAATCCTGCTACCCTCTGGTGCCCATAGCTGGAATAACTGAAAACACTCCCTGTGCCACAGGCTGGGAAGCACAAAGTGGGAAGGAAAGGAAGTTTTCCTCTCAGGAAAAGACATAGATGAAATTTTAAGTTAACTTCTCCTGTTCTCATACAATGTGCTGGCACAGTATCCAAACAGACACATTGTTTGAAGGAAGAAGTGGATGTGAAGTTTTCTAAGTGAAATTAGTGGTGGCTGTGCATTTGTGCATTGAGTGAATGTATATAAAGAAGTACTTCAAAGCTGATGTTTTGAAAACATTGTGGTGGTGAAAGTGAATTTGTCTAGGTATGGTTAAAACAGAAGTTTCCCTGTGTTTTATCTACTCATAGGTGAGATTAGAAAATGTCACACACCTGTCAAATTGTAGCCTAGTTCAGGGAAATGTATGTGTGCTTTTCTATTTTTAATGTAGAAGATTAATTATTATAGGTAATGATGCTGAAAATGATGATGTTTGATCTGTTGCTATTTTAATATCCATAATATCTGTTACTGTTGCTTTTTAAGAGTGAAGCCAAACATATTTTCCTACATGGGAACTAAAGATAAAAGGGCTATAACAGTTCAGGAGATTGCTGTTCTCAGGTAAGTAAAAGTATACTGTGGTGTTTGCACTCCTGCTGAGGTAGCTTGAATGTCTCACTAAATACCTTAAATACCTTAAAGTCTCAGCGACACAAGTGGCAGATTCAGGTCCTGATCTTGTAAAGCACAGGTATTAATGAAGCTGCCATAATCCTTTTGCATTCCATGGTGATTGCTGGTGCTTTCAGTCCGTGGTGCTCTGAGTCAGAGGTTGGGTACATGGATTTGGCTGAGGCACTGGGGCCAGCAGCAGAAAAACAGAATGACACAGTGAAAATTATGATCCATTTCCTTCCTGACTTTTGTTTCCCCCTTTCTGCCTCTGGAATCCTATTTTCTCTCTCACTGAACTCTCTGAACAGCTCCAGAGAAGACTAACCAACCTTTTGAGCCTTTGCTCATCTGCGAGTAGCCAGAAGGGGCAAAAAAATGATGAGGAATGTTTCCTGCCTTAACCTACTCTGTTAAGTCACCTCCTGAGAAAAAAGAAAATTTATTTTGTCATGTTCTAGGATAATTATATGGTTTCTGGGCACTTGAAATTAGTGTTGCATCTGTAACTGAGAGTGACAGATGCCTCCCAGCCATATATCACAGTTTAGCTAGGTGCAATATTGTGCCCTGCACTACTATTTACAGCTTTTTGAAAACCACACTCCTCAAAGTGAGGAATTCTGTGGTTTGAGAGCCAGAAATTTGAACCAATCCATGTTACAAGGAAGGCATCCACTACTATGTTGTTCATGTATGTCCTCCCAGTGTTTTGTGTGTGCATCTTTGCCTATATGATGATCTGTGGATTGTGAGAAGCTCAGACTGTTGCTGCTGCAGGGCAGATGTGCAAAGTGATGACAGTTCACCAGACCTGTGGTGTAGCCATCTCAGGTGCTGTTCTGTTTATTTTTTTAGCATGATCACATTTCACACTGTGCCCATGAGCTTTCAGTGTGTTGTAACCACTGACTGTGGGGAGTGTTCTGATGTGTGGTGTCTGTTCAGCACTGCCACAGCACTCGACTCAGCACAGGAGAGGGAACAGGACCAGTGATCAGCCCCCTCTGAGCTGAGCATGCTGCCACACTAGCTCATACACTTCTCCATCCTGGTGTAGATTTTAGCAGAAGTGTCCAAGAGCAGCTGAGTGACGCAAAGAACAGGCTATGCTTCCAAAAGTACTGGCAACAAAGATGACAGGTATCAGTGACAGATTGGATTCCATGTTCCTTCAGCTGCACCCAGCATACACAGTGGCTAATTTTACTTAACTCTGTTTATGACTCTGCTAACTGGAGTGTGTTCATGGAGTAGTTACTCAGATAAAGCAGAGTTTGTGGGGTACAGTATACATCAATGGTGTAACACACTCTTTATGCAGTGCATGCTGTAATGTAGATGTGAAAAGACAGTCATAATAGTCTTTGCCATGATACACATTTTCTCTTGTGTCAGTAGCTTTAAGAATGATGTTCTTTTCTTTTAACTGTTTCGTTAAAATACTTTGAAAAGGCAACAGTAGAACGGGATGAGGTTTAACAAGGCCAA